AAACAACTTTTGAGTTTTGGTATAAATATATACCTAAAAAAAAGAAAAGAAAAAAAAAAGAAGAAGCTAAGCAATTGATTAAATTAAGAGTAATTGACACTATACAATAATGTTAGTGGATGTATAAAAATAAGATAAATAGTACTAATAGTAGTAGTTACGATTGTGGTGGATATGGCAGCAGATGGAGGAATCGTCCATTTTGGTGAAGCTGGTGCATTCAAACCCCACTATCCTTTTATTTATTTTTTTCGTTTTCTATTCGAACTTTTATATTTATATTTTGAGTCTAGTTAATTTGAATTTGTGTAAGAAAATATTACTTGAGATAAATTTCTTTTTATTGAATATCATTATCGACTTTATATCTAAAATTCAAATTAAAAAACTTTGATTAAATAGTAGCATTACCTTAGGTGGTACTCCCACTATCCATTATTACTATGAATAGATGAGCAACTTAATTTCCATCACAACTTTTCTCTAAATAAATGCAAGAGCTAAAAGATAAATTAAAAAATTGGCATGTCCCTGATAATATGGTTGAAAAAGTACTGCAGTTCCTTTATTGTAAAAGATAAAATTTACTAGTATATAAGAGGAAATGCACTTCATTTATTCATTTGTTGGAGGCATGTGACACGTATCGTATTAAGAGAAGGAAAAAAAATTGTGACCACAAAGTTGAGTACATGAGATTTCACCATCAATGTATTTGTTTGAGATAGTGATTTTTTTTCTCTTTTATGAATATAACAATAATTGTGACCGTGCTTCGGAGATATGTAATAATTCATTCGATTGATTGATTAGTTAATTTTTTTACGAGAATTTAATTCTTGATCACTAAGTAATAGTAAAAGAAGTTTTATTATATCTATTTGATTAAACCTCCATGATTAATAACCTTTGATTTGGAGAGTAATTGAGAAATTGTTGTTAAAAGGATCATCTGAAGTTTCAATTTGAATTTTCAATATTTTTATTGGTTATTTTTTCGAATTGATGTGGTTGGTATTCATACAAAACACATGAACAAAGTAATATACAAAAAAAATGTGGAAGATAGAAAGTTGGGTGTGGTTTGAGTTCGAACTGGGTTGAGTTCAAAGTTCAAAATTAAAATCAACCTAAAAATATGAATGTTTCAATGCATATCATCTGTATATGTTTAGAATTATATCACATCGTATCAATATATATATATATATATAACATCACATGCGCATACCAAATATTCATGGATGAACACACGAGAAATAGAGAGTAGAGACATACACATAGGTGGAGTATTATTTTTGTACTTGGTTACTGTATATAAAAATGGAATATAGCTAAGCCAGGTATTTAACTTATAATTTAGAACAAATTGATAGTAAATTTATTTGTGCTCACAAAGAGTGGTACCTGGAGTATCCTGTTGGAGAAAATTTCACAAATAACAAACATAGTAAGTAACACGTAATAAGATTTTATAATTATAATAATTACGCTTTATAACTGTAGCTTCATTTGCTATTGAAGCTACGATTTATATATTTTACTTGCGAATATACAAATATGATAATATATTCAAATTTTGTATTTGTACATTTTTAGTAATTTTTCAGAACTCTGTTTTTATATTTTGTTTGCCAATATACAAACAGGGTAATTTATTATGAATTTTCCTTAAATCATATATAAATTATTAGTATAAGTATATACAAAATTATGAATTTATACAATCATATATCGAATTATACAAATTATAAATTTATACAAATCGGCGAAATTATATAAATCTGGTGAATATTAAAAATTAAGAAAACTATAACCGTAAATTATATTTTTTTTCTAAACTATAATTATAACACCTAATGTAAGCTAAATGTTTGCTATGCTTCATAATTTTCCATCTTGTTTTGCTTTACGAAAGGATAGTATATTTATGCGGGCCCAATAAAAGTGAGTCTCTTGTTTGGGTCCAAAATGAACCCAGTAAAACTTGTATGCATATGGACCTACCTACTTTGGACCCATTACTAGAACCCATAATCATAAATCTTACTGTTATGAAATAAATAATAATAATAATAAGACACAAAAGGTATAGTAAAAAAAAATTGTTTGTGTGCAAGCGAGAGAGGGAGAACTCTTCGAATTGATGTACACATGAACTGAATGGAGTTTCTATTAATTAAAAACAGAAAGATACGAGGTTTTTCTAAACAATGATGACTAATTATCTACTTAAATTATTTGTAAGTTGTCTGTTTAATTACAAATCTGAAAACGCGGTTAGAATATTTTTCAGAATGCTGCTGACAAGCTGCCTGCCCTAGCTACTTGCAAGATGGTTGGTTGGTTGCAAATTTATTAAACTTGATTGCACAAAAAATAAAATTTGTACAATACGATACATATATAATATTAACTATTTAACTTTTTAAAATTGAGCTACTTGTAAGATTCATACTTAATTGCACAAAAATAAATTTTGTATAATACAATACATATATAATATTAACTATTTAATTTTTTTTTCATCCCTAAAACTAAACTGAAAAGACTGTGTAAATTGCTAACTAGTAGTATGCTGTCAAAGTTGGGCCTTAATTTACAATGCAGACCGTGTCCTTAAATCGAACTATTTGCACCATACGGCCATTTTCGAGAAAACTTCAAATAATGTCCCTATGGTTTGTATTTTAATTTATTAAATTATAGAAACAAGATATCACAAGGGATGATTTTGAGAATTTTTATCTCCCGCATAACAAAATAGTTAAGAAATGACTAAATAAAAAGCAGTATGTTTGTATAAAACGAGAAAGAGAAAGAGACTTGGACAGAAAATTGTATAAAACGAATTGTATAATTAAAAGTATATAGAACGGTTATATACAATTTGAATTTGTATAAAATGAGAAAGAGAGAAAGGCAAAAGAGACTTAGGCAGTGAATATACAATTGAATCAATTTGTATAAAACGAGAAAGAGAGAAATTATATACAATTTGAATTTGTATAAATCAAGAAAGAAAGAAAGGCAAAAAAAACTGAACATGAGAGTATTTTTATTGTATAATTATAAGTGTATAGGACGAAAATATATGTATTTGCATGTATAATATTCTCTCGCTTTATACAAACAGAAACACAAGTTATACATTTCGTTTCTGTTTGTATAAGCGAGAGAGGCGAGCGAGATTAGGGAGAGTGGCAGCGAGATCTGGGAGAAGGGAACAAAAATATATGTATTATACAATTTTCTCTCGCTCTATACAAATTGAAACAGATTTTATACACTTGTGATTGTATAAAAAGTGAGAGGAAGCGAGCGAGAGATGGAGCGAGAGAAGAGAGTAGAGTAGCGAGGGAGAATTTGAGGGAAAGAGGTGATTGGCTTGCTACAGGGCACAATTAAATCAAAGAGTGATTATAGCAATTAATTTAATTTATGAATTTGTCATATTATACAATTTTCTTTAAACTTTATTAGAAAAATATTATGTAATCCATCAGGCAAAGTTTTTTTCTCATAATATGCACATAAAATAATTTTGCCTATAAGGTAGAAGCTCAATACATTCCATAAGTTACTGATAACAAACACGCTATAATGTATAATCTATTACACATGACTTTTAGTTATACCGACTATTTTTTTTTAAAAAAAAATTGATTGATTAATGATGATTAAATTAAATTGTATTTTCCTACCATAATTCAATGTCTGTGTTTAATTTAAAGTTCCATAATACTATTTTATGAACTATTAGAATGACTTATAAATTCGAGGAATAAGTGTTGAAAATTGAAGAATATAAACAATTTTTGTATCATAACTTGAGATCAAGTTAACACACAAGATCATTACAATTTTTTAAAACACATGATTTTTTTGCCATTGTAACATAACGTTTAAGACAATTAAATATGCTATTCCTTTGTTTTGTTAAATTATTGCAATGTTCTCCCTAATAAGAAAAATCATTTATGATTCTATTATTACAATTAAAATAATTTTTAGCGGCATTAAATATTAATAATAACAAAAAATATTAATGACTTTACCGACATTAGTTAAGTGCCATTAGAACAAATATCGTTAAAGACTTTAGGGATAATTATCACTAAAAACAAATATTTAACGATAATTAAGAATTAAATTCTGCTAATATTCATTTTTATTATAACGTATGCTCAATAGACAATATAAATGTTAATCATGAATGTCATTCTTTCTTATTTATTAATCACCCCTATAAATTAGTTCGTTAAATTTCATAATTGAAGTAGTTGAATCATTTCCTTTTTTGCAGGGAAATTTGTAGCTAAGGGAAACAAAATTTCAATAGTGATGACATCAATGAAGACAAGTTGTGCAAATTAATATCTTAAAAAATATTTATATATAGCAAGTATGGATGGAGCCTACTGGAATAAAACTAAGAAAATGACATATGTTAAAAACTAAGGGTTTTTCTAATATCTTTTTTCCTCGTAAACCTGATACCTTTAATTAGAGTATAGCATTTTTATTACTACATCCTTATTCATATTTGATATGAATTGCTAACTTATAAAATAAAAAAATCGGAAGTAATAGAGGAGAAAGGGCGGTTGATGGATTTTAATGCTTGTTGATGTCAATATCTCAGTTTTCACACACAAATTTTGTTTTAATTATTCTCTCCGTTTGAAATTATTTACCATATTATGTTTTTCAAAAGTTAATTTAATTAATTTTTAAAATTAAATAAAATAAATTAATTTGATATTTTAAATAAAAAAGTTAAATATTCTAAAACTATATGAAAAATAGTATAAATTATATCTTTTTATATAAGATGAAAAAATACATTTTAAAATATCAGATAAAATTTTATAGTTTAATTTTAAAAATAAAAACTATGATAAATAATATCAATGACACGAAAAATACCGGACGAAGTAAGTAATCAGTAGAGTCATTTGTCCAGCTGTTCATTTATTTACTGTCTTTTGTCCCCACACAACTAAGCAACCTCATTCATGGCTGCCCCAACTCTCTTCACTCTCCCACTACTAACTCCTCTCTGCTCTTTCTTCACATTAATTAACTAACAACCATCATCATTTCTCACCTTAAAGACTTTCACAATTTTTCTATTCTTTCTACTTCTACTTCCTTTGGGGTTTTTTCTTGAATCTACTGACTCATTACACATTTGGGTCTATTTCGGTTTTTGGTTCAAAAACTGGCAAGGATGAGAGGTGGGGTGTCTCAAAGTTTCAAGCTTTACCTTCTCCATGTGTTCCTACTGCTGCTTTGTAAGTATTCTTGCTAATTTTTCACTTGATTTCTTGTTTCTTGGATGATTAGTAGCTATTGTAATTATTATTGCTCAATTTTGATAAAAATCTAGTTGGGTTTCTGTTAATTTTTCTAGTTTATGTGGGTGTTGGGTAATTTCTGTTTAATCCAGTAAGAAAATACTGTTAGTTGGAGCTAAAAACACAGTTTTTATTTGGGTTCACTGATTACTGTAATTTGAAATTGGGACTTTCCAGTTGAGGGAATTGTTTTCTTGCTACTATGGCAATGTTTTTCTTTTTTTTCTTGTAAAGGGATGGAAGATGTATGGACTCTAAGAACTGAACTTCTTTAGGTCTGCTCTAGGGTTTGAGTTGATACGCAGGAACAATGTTTTCAGCTCCTCGGTTAATATTTCTAAGCAGCTATTTTTCTTTTTCACCTGATCAAATATGGAGTATTTAGGTGATCTAAAACAATGTATTTAGGCTATCATACATAATCGTCATTTAATTCTAGTCTACTCCTCTGCAAAAGCCATAAGTGAGTACATGCACCTTCCAAACAAATACATTTATCTTCCTAATTCATGAACTAAGTAAATGAAATGCATGTACTTCAGATGAATTAAGTGTATGAACTCTTTTTTTTTGGGTGATAAGTGATTTAAGTCTAAGTTGCCTCAGACTTGGGTTTGGTTATCTGATATGAGTGAGGATTTAGGGGTTAGATCCTTAATGATCTAAATTTTAAGATATGGGGATATGGATCTAGGTTAGGATACAAGTGCATTTCTTTTTAGTGTAACATCTTCGAGGTCTTTGTGAAACTAGAGTGCCAATGTTTCACATCTCAGTATGATTATATTGTTTTGCTCATCCCGATCCGTGGTTTTCCCTTAGTCCAGAAGGGAGTTTCATGTAGATAATCTTGGTATTCTTATTTCTTTTTACTCGTTCTACCATGATAGTTTCTGTGGATATTTCATGGTTCCCAACATTTTTTCGGATAATTGGCATTGAAATTGAGAAGGAGAGGCGAGGCATGGAAAATCATGATTAAAAATTTAAGAAATCCTATTCTCTGTTGTTACATTTCAAACGTTTTGCAGACAATGAAGTTTCTGCATTACATTGAGGTTGCTAAGAGTTAAGATCACTACCGTAAATGTACCAAAGGCTACATTACTTATCGATTATCAAAAAGCAATCTAGGACCCACTCTTCATAGATGAATGCCGACTCAATCCGCTCCTATTGTGCAGGAGTATGAGGGGATTGATGTTGGGCTGGCTTTGGAGTAATTTGTCCATCAAGCTATTCTGGGGGTAGGGAAGCAATCTAGTAGTAGTTGTTGTTGTTTTCAGGGTATGGGACACCCCACAAATCGACTAATGATGAGCCAAAAGATTTCCTTTTGGGATGATGCTTATCTTCCATAGTCTTCCACTTCAGTTAGACGAGAATCTCTTGCCTCTCTTTGTATTTGAATCAATCAAAGACTTGTGAACACTACTATATTAGGAAAGGGATTATTTAAAACTAGAAATTTCAACCCCTACATTCCATGGTGGAAAGCTTTAAAGAATGGGAGCATATAATGTGGCTAAAAGCAAATATAGAATGGTTTGATGGGCTAAATTTTGACAGTGAAATGTGAGGTAGTTTCTGTTGCAGACAGTATGATTTAACCAGCTCAGTGAGACAATGTGAAGCATGAAATTCTGGAAATACTGGTTTCTCTAGGTATACAACTTTTCTGAATCTTCAAGATTTCATTAGACATTGAGGATGTCAAGTTACATCATCACTACTGTTCTATTTGGGTGACTATATTATCTGAGACTAGTGGTTTCTTGTTGCCACTTAACTTGTTTTCCATTTAGTGCATGGGAGCACAAGCCCCAGTGGTGCTTGTAGCTTTGATCCATGTGTAACTGTATATATGCCTTCACTGGATGTAAGTGTTTTTAGTTGGTCATCTCCTAAAAGGAATCAATGCTGTTTCTTATTTCTGACGGAATTTCTGATTGTCCAGACCTCCAGGACTCCAGTTGCGGTTCAGTGAATTCTCTCAAGGGTTCTTTAAACATGGACAGAAAGGAGGACACTTTGTTGCCTGAGATCTCCCCAACTGCTTCTCCTCAGCCCTTTCTCCCTCTTTTGGCACCTTCTCCGTGGGCACCTTTTACAAACAGCACTTTACCAAAATTATCGGGTCTGGTTCAGTATTTAATTAAAATGATAATCTCTTAGGTCTGAGCAAGAACAAAATTTTAAAAGTTGGGGCTACTTCAAATTTTAGAGCAATTTAGAGTTGATAAACTAAATACAGCTCAGATAGATCTTGATTTGCTGTCACCTCAGTCAGTGACTCTTCCTTTCATACTCTTCAGGACTCTGTACGCTGAAATTTGATGCTGTGGAAAGAATGATGGGTGTGACATCAATTGATTGTGTTGCTCCATTTGCGGAGTATCTAGCTAATGTCATGTGTTGCCCACAACTTGAAGCAACTCTGGTTATTCTTATTGGGCAGTCTAGTAAATTCACAAATATGCTTGCTTTAAATGGCACAGTTGCAAAGCATTGCCTTTCAGATTTTCAGCAAATTCTGGTGAGCCAGGGTGCCAATGATACTTTACAGCACATATGCTCTCTCCATCCATCAAATCTGACAGAAGGTTCTTGCCCAGTCAAAGGTGTTCATGAGTTTGAAACCACAGTGGACTCATCTAGCCTACTTGCTGCCTGTGGGAAGATTGACCTTGTGAATGAGTGCTGTGAGCAAACTTGTCAAAATGCTATATCAGAAGCTGCTAAAAAACTTGCACTAAAAGCATATGATCTTCTGAGCACGGAAAGTGCTGAGGTGCTGACTGACCACTCGACTAGGGTTAATGATTGCAGAAGTATTGTACACCGCTGGCTGGCAAGTAAACTTGACCCTAATGGTGCAAAAGATGTTCTTAGGGGACTATCTAATTGCAAAAATAATAAAGGTGAGGAATACATACAAGTCCTTTTTCTTATGCTCATTGGTTATTCATTATTCATTATATGTGTTAAGTTTTTTATTGATGATGAAAAAGATCATATGCGAAGCATGTATGGTAGCTGGAGATGTTTTTTCTATTATCTACTGACCTTTTGCTTTGACGATTTATCTACATGTATGGCAGCATGTATAGGCATATTTTTCAAGTGTTGGAAACATAATCATCACACACACACGCACACACACACACATATATAACTATTCTTTAATTTTTTAGTGATACATTATAATTATAATTGATTAGGTTAAATTCAATTAGAGTAGAAGACAAAATAATGTATGGAACTCTTCCAATTTGGTGACTCTATGAATTTTGAAACCAAAATAAAATTTATGTATCATGATTCAATGTGCTCCATTAATAAATTTTGGAAGGTGAAAAGACAGCGAAATATCACTATAAATATCAGTACATTGCTTTCTTGATCATCATATTCTTTTCTTTTCTTGTCTATCATCTATTGTTCTTTTTTCATCTTCATAGATAGTGATATAAATACAATGTCGTTAAGAAGCTAACAAGGAAAAAAACAGATAGTTTCATTATGAAACTAAAAAGAAGAGTGTTCTTACAATATAATCAAGTGTTAAGCTAGAAGTATAAGATATGACCTATATATTCCTTTAGGATCTTTTATATGTTAGCTTATGATTTTAAGTTTTCTTTTCCATTTTGGAGCTAAGGTATGGTTGTCCAAAATAAATTTGATATGCAACCCGTATTTTTATGTAATTCTCTATCATTTTGCATTGTTATGGAATTTTGTTTCTTTTTTTTGTGTTATTTTTCTTTCAAGTGTTGCTTATTCGTCAAAACTTCTATTAATACACGATTGATGAGTTCGATAATGTTTGAATAATTTATGCATTTGTTTAAATTCAAGTAATTTAAATAAAGGTTGCTGAAAGATTATTACTTTGAAAGAAAGATTTTGATTGTGTTACTTTCTCGTCTATCTAACATAGTGATGCGAACACATAAACATATTGTTCATTTTCATTCCTTTTGTTTCATATTTTATTTTTGGACAATTTATATTTTATTCAATATGAGATTTAGCAATTTAATTATCTATATTAACGGTGTTTTAATCAAATTTACAAAAAGAATAAATTAAAAATACACGTGACTCCAACATAATTACACCAAATGTATTTTTAGTTGGTTGGGAGGTAATATAAACACATGTTTCTATTTCTCTATACTCCTTTCTGCTTGAGTGTTGGTATTTAAAAATGTTACTTTTGCCAAATCAATAGGTAAAGAAGAGATTGCACATTATACCAAAAGAAACAAGGTCCAATACTTTGCTAATTAAAGGAGAAATTAGAAATCAAAGTAAGAAAATCAAGGATTTCTTTGGAGAAATATTTCTTCCTTTTATTGAGCTTGTCAAGTAGGATTAAGATATCACTTTTAAGAATTTGCACTTCTTCTTTAGTATATAATTTATAACTCAATGTTTCATAATACTAATATTTATTTAATTTTTTAAAATTTTGTGGTTAATAAAATTGGGCTACACCCGCAAGGTGCGTGCCCCAAAACTAGTTAGTAAATTTAGGTGTCCCTCAAATAGCTTAAACTTTTCGTTGAGACGATCACACTTCAACATATTATCAATAGTACCAGAGCAGGTAGAAGTCCTGGATTTGAGTCTCACCACCATCCATTATTGAAAAAAAAATGTTCACATGATCAGATCATGTAAAAGAATCAGGCCTACACATGAAGTGGTGTATTGAGGACATAATTAAATAGCCACTCCGGATAATTTGGGTTGACATTTAGTTGATTGGGCATGGTTTCAAATAGGAACCATGGTGGGCATCTGTTTTGATCAATTTAGTTGGGAGCTTTTTGTTTCCAAAAAAATTAGTTGGGAGCTTTTTCTAAGAAAATGACCTTCTTAGGATGTCTGTAATATGTAGTCTAGAATTGGTATTTGTCATAAATCAATGGCATTACTCTTCCTATTAACGATTATAAATCTTTTTATCATTAATTTTCTTTGGTAATTAATGCTTGAATAGTTCTTCAGTAGTTTGGGCTCTAGGAAAGCGAGAGAGAACGAATGCCAGAGTGTTTATTGCCCTACATGCTGTTTAAAGGGGAAAAAATGGAGAAGGAAGGCAGATTTTGGCTTTTTTCCTGTCATTTCTTACTTGGAATGGTCTCTAAGTTCGTTTTATGCCACTCCATTTTAATCCAAAACCAGGTTGGACAAGTACCTGTTCATTTAGCCTATCTCTTTATGCCCTTAAAGTGTCACCCCAACCAAGCATATTTGTACTTATATGATTATCCTTGAGATCACTTGTATTAGCTACTCATCTTACCAAAATTGTCATGCACTCATGCTTGCCAAAGGAGCTAGAATCTCTTGTATTGTTTTTTGTCATTTTCTATCTTGGGTATAATATAGTTACAAATTTAGCAATCTGTTTTCTTCCCCTTCAGTGTGCCCTCTGGTGTTCCCAAATACGAGTCATGTTACAGAAGCTTGTGGAGATGGAATGAATAACCAAACAGCATGCTGTGATACCATTGAGAGCTATGTCTCCCACTTACAAAGGCAGAGTTTTGTAACCAACTTGCAAGCTTTGGGTTGCGCTGCATCATTTGGACTCAAGTTACAGAAAGCCAATGTGAGCAAAAATATATACAAACTTTGTCACATTAGCCTCAAGGACTTCTCTGTGCAAGGTAATTTATTATTTAGATGCCGCTTTTTGAGCATTTTGCTGCCTTCAAATCTACCAAGCTAACTTGGAATTTCTATTTTGTATCTCCATCTGTTCTGGGTTCTCTTCAAATGACTACAACAGTTGCACCCGAAGGTAATTTACCTACTTGTCTATTTCTTAATTCATCTGCATGCCCTGTGTTTTCTTCGGTCCTTTATTTATCACTAGAATTCGAAGCATCTGCTCTACGAAAGAAATATAATTTTGAAACCCCCACCCCCCACTTCCTCTTAATGACTTACGTTGAAGTATCAGAAATTCAATCATGGGACGTGGAAACAGTTGGTTCAATCACATGATAATGGATTAAAAGAATATTATTAGTCAATATTGCACTGGACGTATCATTGAAGATCAATGTAGTGGACAAAGGGGACAACTTTTCACTGTACAGTAGTCACAGTGACTTCATGTCTGTAAAGTTTGGAAATTACACTGTCGTTTCATGCCTGAGAGAAGAAATCTACATTTTGTCTTGGAAAACATTGTTTTTGCCTTGGTATTTATTACATGCATCAAATTGTCAAACTACTACATGTTAATTTTCTTCCTTTGGATGAGGTTCCTTGTGTGTTATATCATGTTTTTTGCCCATGTCAGTTTCTTCGTGATAGTTTTAGTTGATTAGTTTTTTTTTCTTGCTCTTTTTGCGGGAGTAGTTTCTGGGTGTCTTTTGCCTAGTCTACCATCAGATGCTGTACTTGACCAAAGTTCGGGGATCAGCTTCGTCTGTGATTTGAACGATAACATTCCAGCCCCTTGGCCATCTCTCTCTCACTTACCAGTTTCCTCATGCAATAAATGTATGTCAGATCTCTTACTTCTTATTATATCCAGTGACCAAAGTCCATTTTCTTGTATAACTAACTGCTGATCTTATTACTACTTTCTGCTATTGCAGCTGTGAAAATTCCTGCACTTCCTGCGGCAGCATCTGGCCAGCTCAGTAAGACTATCTACCTTTCTCATTAACAGTTTCATAGTATGCTGGTTTCTTTTTGTGCTTCCATTAGTAATAAGTTTCAACTTCTCCGGATATGGACATGAGGGGTAAAATAAAACCTGGTAGCTAAAATAGTTTTCAGTTTCACATCATATATCTTGATGGATACATTTATCATTGTTAAGTCCCTCATTTGTTGATAATTCTTTTTCTTATGAGCTTGATTTGGCGTAAGTTAGGCCAGTGACCATTTCTTGACATGGTATGAGAGCCCGACCAATCGATCCTTATTGTGTTTCTCAAAGTTGTGCCTCGATCCATGTTCTACTTGAGTCTTGAGCATGTCGGGGAGTGTTAGCTCCCATATTGGTTGAGGAATGAGTTGTGGCCTCCTTATATTGTTTTTGACAATCCTCCCTTCATGAACTAGTTTTTGGGGTTGAGTTATATGTGTAGTTGTATAAGATACAAGGATCGTGATTGGGTGATATTTTTGAGTATTAGAAGTTGCAACAATAGCTAAATTTTGATTGAAGCTAGTGATTGGAGTAAGAATTGGAATATTTGTAAAGAAAAGTGAACTTATGCTCTTAAGTAACGGTACGCTGGAATATTTATTTCATGAAACATTTCCGGCTATCCCAAAGTGGAGATAGTTATCATGCATGTTTTAGTTGAAAGAAACATGAAGATTTACTGTTTCCATTCCAATTATTTGTCTTACTTCCCTTTTTTAGTCCTTTTTTAAATAGATCGATTCTTTCCTGTTTTAGCAACTTTCTTAGTTTCTTCATGACATGCTTAAGACCTCAAGATTGTAGGGCATTTGGTACATTCAACATATCTTTTGTTTAAGACCACAAGATTCAAAAGTTCTTTAATTTCTTAAACTGTTGTCAAGTCAAAACCAAAAAAACAATTAGAAACAGAGGAAGTAACTTCTTTGAAATACCCTGGTGTGAGATCAAGAATTTTGTTGACCAATGGTAATTAATATGTTTACATAGATGCATAACGGAAGGATGGATATGTAGAACATCATGAAGCATCATTTTATTAGTGAAGATACGTCAGGCCTCGACTTCCATTTAGTTGCTTTGTACCATTTTTAGTATGTACTATTTATAGTATATTCTGAGCACTGTTGTCTGAAAGCAAAATTAAAGCTACTTTGGAGGTTCAAGAGAAAAGGTTTAATAAACAAATAAGAGTTCAAATGCCATCTATCTCTACTCTAAAATGAATCTATACTAATGAATCTATACTTAGTCGCAGATTTAGTTTGAGAAAGCTTGATTGTTTATCTTCTATTAAGGTTGATCTACTTCTCACTGATACGTTCTCGTTAATTTGTCAGGTCTGAATAGCTTGAGCATCGGGTCTCATCTGCGTCTCTTAGCCTTGACGGCTCTTGGAAGCCTCTTTTATACTTAATGCTGCCACTCCTGCTCAATTAACCTTGATGGCGAGCAAATCTTATGAAATAATGATACAAGTAACGAATATAAGTTAATGGTGCTGAAGGTTCTGATTTTCCTCAAGTCTAATGTGTACAAAAGCTGGAAAATCATGATCCAGAGTAAGAATGCCACTCGGAGAAGATTACAAGTTTGAGTTTTCCTACCATATTTGTTCCTCATTGTTGCGTAATAAGAAAATTTTGTAAAAGTACTTCAGGAGGAGGTTAAATTCCATGTAATTATTTCCACTTAGAAATACCATCTTGTATTGTATATGTTTGATACTCAAAGTCCTGAAAAATTATTGTGTCATTAACTAATGCATTAGGTAGGTATGTTTTTGTTCGGTCATTTTTCTTTTGTTTTCAGTTATGCATCAGAACTAATACAATACCAAAATTGTACTATCTATTTGACTATTTCTGTTCAGTAGTTAAAGGTATTGCAAATTGCAGCACCTTCAAGTCATAATGCATGTATTCTTAGCTACGCAGAGTTGTATATATTGCCAATGTGAGATCTATTACACTATCTTTGTAATTTTATTTTGTCATAAAGCGTCGATTACTATCATTTTCTTGAGATAGTTAATTATGCTAATGTGGATATTTACTTGTGTTTTTACCTTATAAATTATTTGAATGTAATACATATTTTTTTAACTCTGTCCGTGCATTGAGGTCTGCATACTGAGTACGTTGATGCATGCTCTGATGCTTTATTTTTTAAATCTCGATATTGCATTGGTATCTAAAAGAAACAAGTATCTTGGTTTTACTTTTATAATGGAATAAGAGTGCATTGATCATGTTCTTTTTACAGAAGTGCACACTTAATTTAGAGTCCGAATACTATTTCTGATATTTTATTAATTAAAAAACTGTCACTTTGTTAAGATCAATAGTGTACAGTGCATTTTTTTATATTTATTTTTTCATTCTATCCCGGATTGTGTAGCGAATATTTAGGGTTGCTGATTGATTTTTTATTTAATCATATTTGACAGAATTCCAATGACACGAGTCAAACTTCTGTAGCTAGTTTTTTTAAAAAAACAAATGGGCTGCAGCATAGTAGGTTGATTTTGTTTTGGTCACAAATAAGCGAGTTGGATTAAATTTTTTATCCAAATCTTCTTTCTTTTCGACCAGAAAAAGCGCCATTGCTCCGGAATATTATTGCATTCATTAAATATATTTTGAAATTTTAAAAAGTGTGATGGCATGATATTATTATTACTTTCAATGAAAGCGATTGAGGGGAAAATATATTACTAGTAATTGGTATTAAAAAGGTTTAAGTCATCAAATTGCGGTTAAAGTTATTCGCACAGTTCATTTAGATATTTTAACTTATTCTTATGTCGATCGAACACATTATTTGTTCAAAAATCATTTCTATAAAAATACAAAATGTTGACACGACAAAAAATATATGGTTCACTTTCTTATTTTGATTTAAGTTTTAAATATTTTGATAAAGTCTTATTAATTACTAAGAAAAATTATATGAAATAGCTTTTTTTGGGCATAAATTTATCATTATAATTTTTCAATTATAATAAATCTTAATTAATGTATAAAAAAATAGTGAGATTAGGAGAAATTCCATTTTCAGTATTGAATCAAATTCAAGGAGAGGGGTAGGTGGGTGGTCGAAAAAACACATGATTCAATTTTGTGTCTTTTGGTAAAGAAAAAGTGGAACTTACGTTTGGGGGGTTGGGTGGAGTGGTTCCGGGAAGAAGAAGAAGAAAAGGGGAGAGTTCTTTTTAAATTTTTTTTCTCTTTTTTACTGAAAATATAGTTTTTGTTTATTTTAGCTGTTTTTTGTGGGTTCAATGTCACGTGTTTTTTTTATTGGCTAATATAGTGACACGTTATTTTTATTTTTAATTAATTATCAAAATATAATTTTTTTAATTAAAAATATTTAATTTAAGATAAGTTTAAAATAAGTTATCTGAATAAAATATGCGAATAATTTGAAGTGATACTAAATAAATTAATCTGTATTAAAAATTTGAAGTGAGACAAACTATTAATATGTCATGATTGTCGCCATTTTTTTGGTACACACCTATCCCTTCCCTTTCATCGGTAAGTGTTACTAAAATAATAAAATAGTAGTAATACTTTATGTATAATATACTAATAAAGTTCAGTGCATATAAAATGTAAAATAAACAAAATTAATTTAAGAAAGATTTTCAACTTTTGTCCGTGTAGTTCAATTATTTACCATTAGACTTTAATGTACAAATATTTGTTCTTTCAAATCAGATCGAGGGGGCTAAGGCCTAACAGTCTAGTGAAGTTGTCAGTGGGTCGCTTCGGAGCAAGATATTGCTTATACCAATAGGTCACACCATAGTTACAGTATTTCTATCTTTAATTTTTTGCCTAGTAAATAAGCTATCTTGATTCGTCTTCGACTTTGATTTATTGATATTTATTATTGGAAAACATGGATGAGTGTAAGGGGTCAAGTGAACCTTTAATAGAAGAGAAAGAAGCAACAGTGGAACATGTAAGCTCCGAGCTTGAAGACATATTGTTGGACGCAAGATTGTCGCATTTTCAGCGGCTTAGACGGGCATCTGCCGTTGAATTCAGTAATCTGTTTCGACTAGCAGCTCCAGCAATCATTGTTTATTTGCTCAACAATGTTACGTCTGTGTCTACTCAAATATTCTGTGGTCATCTTGGTAATCTTGAACTTGCTGCTGCTTCACTTGGCAATGAAGGTATTCAACTCTTGGCTTATGGCGTCATGGTAAGATTCGTGTCAACTTTATTTGTACTTGCTCTCTTGAGGATTACCTTTTATGTTTGTTAATCGACCTAGCATATGAACAGAGCTTCTTTAAATTGCTCGAATTTCATATACTTACTTTGTTCGAACTTATGTCATATATTGTTCAGGTTTTGAGAGTCGAATACTTCAATCCTCTTAATTTTGAAAATGAAGTCATACATAGAATCTTTGGTTTCTCGAAAAGTGAAATTGTTTTGACTCTCGAAATCTGAAAATTTACACATAAATTGGGATGGAATGAGTTATAGTTTTTAATTTTACTGAGGAATAGTAATGGTTGTAGACATAATGATGTGTTATTTATCAATTTTGTTGGAGCAGTTAGGGATGGGGAGTGCAGTGGAGACACTATGTGGGCAAGCATATGGAGCTCACAAGTATGAAACATTGGGAATATATCTTCAAAGATCGACAATTCTGCTTATGTTATCTGGAATACCGATTATGGTGGCTTACTTATATTCAAAGCCAATTTTAATCTTACTAGGAGAATCAGAGAAAGTTGCATCAGCAGCTGCATTATTCGTTTATGGTTTAATTCCTCAAATATTTGCTTACGCTGCCAATTTTCCCATACAAAAGTTCTTGCAAGCGCAAAGCATAGTGAATCCTAGTGCGTATATAGCAGCAGCTACATTAGTCCTCCATCTATTCTTAACATGGATTGTGCTATATGTATTCAAGTGGGGATTATTCGGAGGAGCGATGGTTCTAAGTATTTCATGGTGGATAGTAGTCATTGCACAATTTATGTACATATTGTGGAGCGATAAATGTAGGAAAACGTGGAATGGATTTAGTTCGCAAGCATTTTCTGGGTTGTGGGATTTTTTTAAGTTGTCAGCTGCTTCATCTGTGATGTTGTGCTTGGAGACTTGGTACTTTCAGATTTTGGTTTTAGTTGCTGGTTTGCTTCCAAATCCTGAAGTGGCATTAGACTCTCTAGCTGTTTGGTTAGTAAATACATCTTGTTATCAATAAATTTTAATTTTCTCTCTTGGATTTATATCCTGATGAAATGGAATTTGTTTTGCAGCAATACAATTCTTGGATGGGTGTTCATGGTAGCTGCTGGGTTCAATGCGGCAGCAAGGTTAGTTATTTATTACTGAAGACTACTGCATAATCAGCGGCCGGTTCAGGATTCAACTTTCACCATATTAGTTATATTTTTGAAGTTATGCGTTCATATCTATTATTTATTGCAATTTTGTTAATTTTAGCATTGAAGTTGTTACCTTTGAACTGCATCCGCCCCTGTGCATAATTCATGATAAAAAGGCTTTCAAAACCATAGTTAGGCCTTTTTCTCCTTTTCAATTACATTAGGCCAGTGGCGGAGCTACAGTATGTCAAGGGTAGTCAGACGCGAACTTGGTTCAATTGATAAGATTTTTGAAAAATTGCAGTGTGAGGGTGAGCAATGAGTTGGGAGCAGGGCATCCGAAATCAGCCTCATTTTCAGTTTTGGTGGTGACGTTAAGCTCATTTGTGATTGCTGTAGTGGCAGCCATAATAGTGATGATGTTTCGCGATGTGATGAGTTATGCATTCACTGGAGGCGAAACTATTGCTAAAGCAACTTCAGAACTTGCACCACTCTTGGCTGCCTCTATAATTCTTAATGGCATTCAGCCTGTTTTATCTGGTCAGTCCTTCATCAACCTTTTCATGTTAAATAGGCATTAATTTCAAGAATAGTATTAATTTAATTTTTATTTTACTACATCAGAGTCACTTAACATAAAAATTACTCAACTTTGTAAGACTATTAATTGGAATATCTTCATTTATGGAGTAATTAAGCAATCATTTCAAGGCCAAAAAATATTTTCTCTGTAGTCTGTACTTGTTTTGTGAAAACAACTCAACGAAATGGAGGTTGCACAGTGTTTTTTTTGCAAATTTTCAAACAAAAACAACGGTAGATATATTGGACGCAGACATGAAAGGACAATAAACAAGTATTCAATAAGAACGCTGCATGTGACTTTTGTTTGGATATATATATGCTAAACACTGATTTTAAAAAATTGATTTGACAAGGAGAACAGGACAAATATTTTATGGAAGACAGTACCCTGTGTAGTAATTTTTTTTTTTAATTAAGACTATTTAGAACTAGAGAAATAATAAGGAGGGAAAGATTTGGTTGAAATTAATTAGAAACACCAATTTTTGAATTGAAGGTAAAAATGGTAATATTTTAGAGATAATTTCATTTGATTCCGACTCTGACTTAGTTCAAGTGTTTAAATAAAATATTTTCATACCGAAGGCGTGGCTGTTGGATGTGGATGGCAAGGTTTTGTGGCATACGTTAACGTGGGATGTTACTACGTAGTTGGTATTCCATTGGGTGCTCTTCTTGGGTTTCACTTCAAACTCGAAGCTAAGGTATGTCCATTCTTCTCCTTACTAAACTTTGTTTTTATTTTCGTAGAAATATTTTATTTATCTGATATTCGATACTCGCTCGTTTGGTATTACATGGACAAATGAATAAAAGGTTATTAGTTTACATCATTGAAATTAAAACAAATTTGTTTAATTAACTTGGGCAAATATGTAGGGATTATGGCTGGGCATGTTTGGTGGAACAGCAATGCAAACTCTTATCTTAGTATGGGCCACTTTTACAACCAATTGGGAAGAAGAGGTACGTTCTCTAT